TACATACCTTACATACATTAGATACATTACATACATTACATACATTACATACATTACATACATTACATACATTACATACATTACGTACATTACATACATTACATACATTACATACATTACATACATTACATACATTACATACATTACATGCATTACATGCATTACATACATACATTACATACATACATACATACATACATACATACATACCATCATACATACATACATACATACATACATTACATTACATTACATTACATTACATTACATACATACATACATACATTACATACATTACATACATTACATACATTACATACATTACATACATTACATACATTGAATACATTACAAACATTACATACATTACATACACATACATACACATACATACACATACATACACATACATACACATACATACACATACATACACATACATACACATACATACACATACATACACATACATACACATACATACACATACATACATACATACGAACATACATACATAACATAACATAACAAAACATACTAATACATACTACATACATACATACATACATACATACATAACATACTACATACATACATACATACATACATACTACATACATACATACATAAATCATATCATACAAATATCATACATACATACTACATACATACATACATACATACCCTACTACATACATACATACATACATACATACATACATCATACATACATACATACCTTACATACATACATACATACATCAACCTACACTACATACATACATACATACATACTACATCCATCATACATACATAACACTACATACATCCATACATACATACATACTACATACATACATACATACATCTCAGACAACATACATTACATACATACATACATACATACATACATACATACATACATTACATACATACATACATACATACGCAGATATATATATATATATGTACATACATATTATGTGTATATATCTATATAAGAATATATACAGTATATATATATGCAATCGATACGTTACGTAAATTAGCAAATACATATACATATGTAAGACAAAAAATGAATACGTACACAGTGGATTAGATGCAATGAAAAGTCTTTGGTTTTGCACTTTCCAAACAAATGTTGCTAGTCAAACAAGTCCATATAGTCTGTATCCGACTCTGGCTGGTTCGAAAGTTATACAACCATGGAATGGACCATGGGTCAAAACCAGGGTATCAACTCTTGATGCGACAGATGACAACACGACTGTTCTGAGCCGTTCAATCTGGGTAAATTCTGATGACCTGAAATTCGCTGACCTGAAATTCACTGAAATTCACGGCTATTTTGAGATACAAAAACCACTACGAAGCATCATTGATTTACCCAGGTTTCATGATTCAATGGATACTAATCTTTGACTGACACTCAAGGTAAACTCCGGCAGGTTGACACTTTCCATGGCTATCCGTCAACTCACCGGGGGTTGGATGTGCAGAAAACCAACATTTGTGTACCCATAAATGGAATTTTAATGGTGGCGACTATCATCCCCAAATGCTACTACGAGTTGTGTATAGTTGTGTAGTCTTGGTTGAATCCCACATTACCCACCCAAAAAAACACTGCTGGTGAAGCCAATAGACCCGCAGCGCAGGCATCTGCGTGTACAACGGCAGGCAAACGGCCAGGATGAAGTGTTTGGCCTCGTGCTCCGCACAGAATCTCCAGCAGCTCTCCATCCTTCATAGTTTTACAATCATCTTACATATATATATATATAGTATAAGATTGAAAAATATACAGTCGTATAAGATTATAAAATTGGCGCATAATATAATAGGATATTATCAAATTTATCGTGGATAACCGGATAACCGTGATCATGGATAACAATAATGACACAATAATGAATATATATATATATTATATATATATAGTGGGATCATCATCATCCAAATCACTGTTACAACTTTACGTGGCCGTCTCCAAGCCTGGCCGTGGGCTTTTCGTGGTCGGGCTTCCGGGCTTTCGTACGGAACCAGCTTTGGCCAAATTCGTTGACGTGACAATAAGATTTGATGTATCTTTCCGGACCAAATTTGGTCTTGTCTCCAAATTTTCACTCAAACTTTTGTTGAGTTGAGGCCAAAGTTTCAACACTGATGCAGGAATCATTTACCGCAAAATCTCAACGTGGAAATCCAACCTAAACAAAGGTAGTCACCGGAACCGACATGAAAACAGCAAACCAAAGGAAGTTTTCTGCATGTTTCTGCAATGCTCAAGCCTTTCTTTGAAAAATTGCACCTGTGTCAAACGCCCACAGTCATTAGCAGTACAGCACTGCAAATCTTGGAAGGTTTACAGGTTCACTTTCAAAAGTGCCTTGAGGTTGTGCCACAGCGCAGAATGGACAACATTACCTTCACTTAAAATGTTGCACAGATTAAAAACATGTAAAAACATTGATTGATCGGTCCTTACCTTACGTTGGTATTACGAAACCATGTGAAACCCAATGTTTTTCTTCAAACCATGGGCTATATTTTTCTTGGTTCTTGTCATTCCGAGCATGAACCAAATCAGAAAGGATTCCCGGGGACGGCTCATAACATAAATGAGGATTTTCCGATATTTATTTATGTACATAATATATATATATAATATACACATACATATATATATATATGTATATATATATATATATCCACAATTGTGGATGACACTATTGGAATCCAAAGGACAGAAAATATCTCGAAAGGGATTACCCTCTGGATCCCTCTGGACATTTCACATATGATATATATATATAATATATAATATATATATATGATGTTCTCATTAAAAGCCTGTTTATAGGTGATTTCCATTGATTTCCCAGTTATATAGAAAAATCCAGAGGGTAAATCACTAGCTAGAACCAATGTCCTCTTGGAAAAAAATATGGGCCTCACCATCGATTACCTATGGATCTATGTCTGATGGGGATGACCCAACCCATGAAATATAACTGACTACTTGGATGTGCATCCCACGAATCGGATCCGTGGTTTATCCCTCTGGTAATTTAACATAGCTATTGAAAATGGCTATTTATAGTTGATTTACCCACTAAAAATGGTGACTTTCCATAGTTATGTTAGTTTACCAGAGGGTAATCCCAACTCCCATATTTCATCCCATATATTGCCATATATAAGTAACTGACGAACGGTATCAGTAAACAGCTCATATCTTAGGCCACCCCTTGGCTCGGCGCATGGCCCGCATGGCCCGCATGGCCCCCGCACGCTGAAGTCAAATTGGCTTTCAAAGACGGTGGGGTCCTCGTCTGGGCTCCGGACTCGTCCGGCGATGTCAGTCGTGGAGAACTCTTGGTTTTCATGGGCATGATATATATATATATATATTATCTGTATATACCTATATATAAAAAGTTATATTTCTATGTATGTGTATATATATATATTAATATGGATATGTATATATATATAATACATATACATATATACATATATACAATATATATATATACATACAATGCCAATGGTTCATGAATCTTAGATGGTTCCATAATATGGTTTTAAATATATCATATATCCAATGGTTCCATAGACAATGGGAGAAAATAATTTGAAATAAATATCAAATGATCGTATATGATAATATATGAAGGTTTCTTATCCATGGGGTACCCGGTACCCTCATCCATTTTGTTTGGGATTTTCCACGAAATAAACCATCCAGCCATTGGGAATTCCCATTTATGGAAACCCTACATATATATATCATATATAATGGGATATATAGTCGGATATGATGAGAAATTTCATGGTTTTCAATCGAATAAAATTGTAACTATCGTTATGAGTCCAGCAACACAGAGAATATAGGGTTTGACAAAAAAAACAGAGAGCAAACAAAAAAAACAAACTAGAAAACCAAAACCAAGGAAAAACCAAGGAAAAAAAACAGCACGCCGACAAGAGAAACAAAAAGAAAAGCTGAGGAAAATGCAGGTTTTGGTTGTTCTTTTTTTTTAATTATATTGGTTTGTGTTTTTTTTGTTTTTTGTTTGTTTTTTGTGTTTTTGTTTCTTTTTTTTTGTTTTTTTTTTGATTTTTCTGGTGACTCTTCCTGTCGAGTTGTTTTTTTGTTGATTCGGTTTTTGATTGTGTTTTGTTTTTGTTCTTGTTTTTTTTGCTAAAATCCACTTTCTCTGTTCTACACGGGGTCATAAAACTATCGCCAGCCAACCAGAATTGGTTACACATCCACAGCTTGGTAATTTCAATGCATGGCCGGGATTGTATGGAGATATCGCTCGGAAGATTAAGAAGAAATAGTACTAATATCAACCAAAGATTGACGGATGGTTAAACATATCGCCCTGGACAAATATGAAAGTCATTGCCATCATCCCATCTCTTGTGGTTTGAAAAGGACATCTTTATCATCACATGTTTCAGTTACTAAGCAAAAACTTATGGCGGAATTCCCATCGCAAGTGGGGTCGATAATCCGGTGAGCATGGCCCGACAAAGCACATATTGCCGGTCTGGCCCTCCTTGACAGCAAAATCATTATATATACTTCCCAACATATGCTGAAACCATTTATAATTTAGGTATATCTACATACACCCTCCGGCAATCAAACATGGCCATGGACAATAGCCCATATTATGTATATATATAATATATATGTATATGTATATATATATATATATATCATAATATATCTATCTATATATTTATATGGCCATTATATATACAGTATATAGATCATCCTTCCATTTCAATGCCCATATATCTGGGGACTTCGCCATCTCGCCATCCTTTTCGAGTGCAGGTCCTGTAGCCAAACATGCCGTAGATAGAGACAGCACCAGATGGGCTGTTTGCTCTTCACGCTGTACAACCGCAGCAGGCTCATCATATGGCTGGCTGCGTCCGCGGAGCCCCTGTCGGGATGACATGATACCCTCTGGTACACAGTTTTGCTGCAATGGAAAATCACCATCTTTCATAGGTAAAGCATGTAGCTATGCTAGATTCTAGTGTTAAAATATCGGAGGGTGAGCAACATGAAACATCATCAAACATCACGGGTCACACTAAAACCGCAGAAAGAGTCAATAATCTTCTGCGGCTCGATGTGCAAGACCCGGAGTTGCTGATGGTGCCGAGTCACTGTTCTTTTTGCCCCTGGTTGCAGCAGAAGTCTTCGATGCGCGAGAACTCCTGCGGTTCGGGAGCGCTTGAACAAAACACATGGAAGATGGCAATCACCTGTTCAAAATGGTGTTGGTTCTTATATATCTTAAGGTTTTTTCCTCACATCCAAGGGTTCAAAAGTAATCAAGGGTCACATGTTATACTAGTGGCGCTGATCTGTTCAATTAATATTGAGCCATTTCGAAAAAATCGTGAGTCAAAGAAGCTGAACTTGGCACCTGGCTTGAGAGTTACTTCCAATAGCGCTACTCTTAAATTTACTAGAGAAGAACCGCCATCCGGATTACTTACATTACGGATAACATGTGATATAACATGTGACCCTTGATTACTTTTCAACCCTTGGATGTGAGGAAAAAACCATAATGAAAAATCACATCCTGTGAGGCAACCACAATAATCTGCTATGTCCGCTATGTAGATGTAATTCCAGTTCATGATTATAATATACACGTGGGAAAGATGGGGCTTGCAAATATGAAGATGTGGGTTTAAAATTTCAGCACCTGCCCATTGAAGACGCGGTTCGGCAAGGCATCCGGCAACATCCTGTCAGCACTTGATGGACTTTCACGCAGCCCAGGAGTGGACTGCGGCATATACACATCATATCATCATTCTATGTGAACATGTCCATCAAAAAGGGAATAGACAGGCAATTTAGAGGGGGATGGTGATGGTGAACCAGATTTTCTGCACGTGTTAGGTCAAATCCATGGCGGATTTCACTAGTATCGCCTAGAAAGATTATGATTTTAGGTGATTTTAGTAAGTATATAAAATCCCATAACATCCTGCTAAAATAGTGATGATTTACTTGTCTATCTTTTTGGGGGTCGTATGTTCATGGATGAGCCGATAAGAAGACCAGCATCCAACATGGTGGGTACAGTATGGGCCCCACCAATGTCCCACCCACCAGTGTTTTTTTCTTTTCACCGTCTCAGAAACATTCAGAGGTAAATTCAAACAAAAAGAATCGCATCAAATCAAATCAAATGGATGGACCAGCCGAAGCATTTTGCTAGGCTGCACACACACACACATTTTGTGCAGTTGGTGTTGATGTTTCAACGTATCTTTTGCTCCGGCCCGGCTGAATCCCCTTCTTAGGCCCCAGCAAGAAGCGGAAGTTCCGTCCGAGGGCCCAAGCGCGCCAATAGCCAAAGAGATCTTCCAGACCTGGTGGATGGGGTGCTACCAACGATGTCAGTTGGTTGCTGTCTGTGCGACCTGTCCTCCCTTCATTCGCCAAAGATCGCCATCCAACACCCCCATCACCGAATCAACTCACCTTGAGACATGTAAGCGATGGGGCAGTCGGTCTCATCGGGGTCCAGGATCCTGAAATTGAGAAATTGAGCCCACGGCTGGACGGCGGCCGTGGTGGCTGTTTTCGGGGGTGATGCTTGGAACATATTATACCATATCTGAGATCTGGTTGGTGGTGCAATAACCATCTTGAAAAATATGAGTTCGTCAATGGGAAGGATTATCCCATCTATGAAATGGAAAATAAAAAATGTTTGAAACCACCGACCAGATATTATATCATATTATTATACCATATTATACCACCCAAAACGTGCCAGTGCGAAGCAACATTCCATACAGATTCAATGCTTGGCTTTTTTTTCCAACCAATCTCACGAAAGATTGGCCAGTACGGCCCTGTCAGATGGAAGAAACACATGTTCGAAACCACCACCCGGTCAACCAGTATCTATCGTTTCTCTGCTCCAAATGATTGGGTGTGGGTCAAATTCGGGTATATGGACATATAATATAGACATGGAGCCACAAAACATTGGTCATTCAGTAGATCGGCACTATCAAAAAACAATCTTTTGATGGGGTGATAGTTTTGCAATAAAGGCAAGGTTTCTCCTAACATCATGGAAGGTGGGGAGGTTCCTGGCTCAAATCCACTGCTTTCTTGAAGACTTGGTCCGCGAGGAAACTTGAAACTCGGATGACAACTACAAACCAATGGCCAACAAGGTCACACACTTTCAAACTTTGGATATCTTTGGTTGCTTGTAGATCCCAACATACCCCGACATGACCAACAGCAGCCACCAGCTGCTTCCAAGGATCATGTAGGGCTCGATGTTGAACAGCTCTCGTCGGTGACTCCGATCACCTCTAACAACAGTTGGGGGAGCCCCCCCTGAGTATGACATGACGTGACATGGTGATTTGGTATCAGAATTCCACTTTGGATTGAAAATGAAAGTTGTGGAGTGATTCAGCTTGATCCAGTCCAAGATTTGTCGAAGGGACTTATTTTCAGCTAGGTCCACATGAGATTTCATTTCTGTTCTCATTGAGCTTACCTGGGGCCAACTGAGTCACTATTCAATAGATGTGCCACCCCAGCCAAACTTCTACCTGTGTGGGCATGGCATGATTCATCTGCCATTCCAAGCAAAATACAGTAAGAAACGAGTGGGCATGACGTCCATTGATCGTGGAATGAAGGTACCCTTGGAGCCTGATTAGTCAATACAGTCCCCGCGGAGGGTTGGAATCCCGTGGAATCTCCTTCCTTTGCCCAGCCCCAGGCCTTTCTTGCCATACTTCCAGTGACTCATGAGCACTTGACTCTCGTTGGCCAGAACCTCCTCCCAGAAATAGTACAGCTCGTAAGGCAGCCTGAACAGGATCACCATGAATAACAAGGTTCATTGCAGGGTCAACTTGGACAACCTCTCAACAGGATTCAACAAACTCTCAGAACCACCAAGCAAAGTAATGTATTACGGGTAAACCCAATCGTAGACAATCTCCAATTTCACCAGACATGAATGGTATAAACATGTATAAACCATCCCAATCGGAGCTTATGATTGAGTTTACCCCCAAAGTTGATGGTTAAATGCCAAAGTTTCGACCCATTTCCGGGTGTCAAGTCCAGTCAAGCGGCGCCATGGCTGATCCAAAGCGCGGGACAAAGTGAATTCCTGACGTCAGCGCGATGTCTCACCGAAAGAAGTGGGAATTCAACAGGATTTGACCCTGGTTATGGCACAGTTTTTGCCTGCAAACTGGGGAGTGCGGGGACACCATTAAAAAATCCAATGATTTCTCATCATGTTCCCATGAATTCCATAAATTGGATTAACATTGGATTAACCAATTTAACCAATTGAGATGATGAAGTAATCCTACCTTGGTTTTCCCAGGTCAAATGGAAAATCCTCGAGGTCAACCATGAAGTAATCCGTGGCTCGGAAAATCCAAATCCGGTGAACCGTTTAGGGGTTCATGGATATGTCAACGGTGACACTGATGTTTTTTACCACTTATGTAATGTTATATAAATGTGGAGAAACCAAAGACATGCCGCGACATGCCCATGTTTCACTGGAGATGGGTGGCATAAACCCTGACCCCCCAACCCCCAATAAAAAGGACTCTTGCAGGTGCCGTGACCCTAAAAGGTGACGAAAATCGAACGGTCACCAGATACAACACTCATGCACATTCACAGAAAACATGCTGAAAAAACATGAAAAAACAAATTGCCTTCTTTTCCCCACCTTCAACGTCAAGGTGTTGAAGCAGAAACGGCAAAACATCGTGAGGAGTGTCGGATTGGGGTCCTTAAGAAGCAAAACCAGAACCAAAGTGCCCAGAACTCAATGGCAAATCCCTTCCCTCTGATGTTGAAGACCCCCTCCCAAACGAAACCCTGGTTTAGTGTTGCATCTCTTCATTTTGGGGGGCCCTTGCAGTATTTACAGTATTTCATATTATGTGCTGATGTGACACATATTTGAACACATCAACATATACATCAACCAATCAGATCCAATCAAAGTATCTTAATTAGTCTTGTCCTGTCACCCTTTGCCCCATCAAATGTCCATCGCGCCTGACCAAACATCGCTCAGGGCTCGCGCCAATTCCCTGCGGCTGATGAAGAGTAAGCCATAAACAACGGAATCAGTTGACTTTGTGTGATCCCCACCATAAATGACACAATAATGACATATTAAATAATGATTCATAATCTGACATGACATAATATGACATAATTCATGGCATGTACATTCTCTGACTCTCTTGTCTGACATGTATTCTCTGGCTGAATTGAATCTGACTGTTGTGACTCGTATGCGTGCATTTATACATTATATATATATCATATTATATATATATATCATTATATATATATATCATATATATATACATATTCTGACACAATGACACAACTCTGACATGAAGGCTGAGACATAGTTTGACATGTATTCTGACATGTAGTCAGACTTGTATTCTGACACGCAGTCTGACTATTGTGGCATATTCTCTGACATTTATCCTGACACACACTCTGACATAATTACAGTTTCCTTTTTTGTCACAACCTCAATTCTGTTGCGTTCAGAAGTCCCAAATGGACATAGGATTTGTTTTCTATATCTGAAAATGTGGCATACTTCCCAAATGGTTCTCTTTTCACGTGACCATGGACCATGAAATGGGGGTATAGTCACATTCTATGGTCCCATGAGAAGCTGTTAAATAAGCCGTTGAATCTCCATGAAACATACATTGAGTACATAGAGAAACATCAATAAGGAGATTGAACAGCATAAACAATATCCAAACCAGCAAAGCCCATTAAAAACATTATATTCCAAGTTCATTATTGATTTTACATCCTCAATTTTGAATCACAATTCAGAACCTTTAAAACCATGATATATCAGATTATGTCTCCAATTTTGGGTCAAATAGCACTTAAATAAGAAAAAACATGGGTTGAATTATCCCCAATTCCCACGGATCCGCCCATGGCCTACACCTGAGCTCGGTGGCTTCCAAGGCCCGGCAGCGCATTGCTGAAGCGGCGCCAGCGTCCCAAAGCTCAAAGAGCTCCGGCAGTGAGCTGCATAAGGACACTGCGCGGAGCCGGGACAAACATTGGAAGCGTGGGAGATTTGGGATGGAAGTGGAAAATGACGATGAGAACCATGGGATTTTACCCATGGGATGAAGCTATGCAGTTTCGAATTTTGAGATCAAGCTATACAAAATGGGGATATTCCCAATGATATCATCAATGATATTTCTGATATTATAACTGGATTATATGGATATTCAAATTATATATCACTACTATATTATATACCAATGATCTGGAAAATGATGGAAAATGGATCCGGCGACTTGAGAAAATCACCATGCAGCATGATTTTCAGTTGATGGGTTTTTCACACCATGATTTCTTCGATGATTTCAATGGGGGTTTCACCATGAGAATTGATGAAGAATGAGGATTGGAAAATTATGAACCAAGCTCAAGATTTTGAACATCAAATATTTTTGGGTGTCCTCTTTCGATGCTCCCTTCATCCGAATCTGGGGTGATGGAATAACCCTGTTGGCCAACCCTGAAAGTTTGTCGAATCTTGGCTGCCCGAGGAGTAACTTTTGGCAGTGTAAGTTTTGCTTTGTTCTGAGATACAGTATGATTTGTTCTCTTGGTAAATCCTTTATGTGTCATGTTTTACATTACATTTATATACATGGTAATATGTTTACATCTGATGGATGTTGAAGACAAACCAGTGACCTTGCAACCCGGAAAGTATCCGTAACATAATCCAACATAGAAATATCCCCAAAGTATAGGTTTATCTCAAAATTCGAAACCGCATTGCATCCCAAATATCCCATGGATAAAATCAATGTTGTCATCGTCATTTTCCAGGACTTCTCCACAGAAGTTGCCACGCCTTCAGAAATGCGCCGGGTCATCGCCACTCGCAATAGCCTCGGTCTGTTTGAAACTGGGGATACCAAAAAGAAAATGAAACTGGTATATAATTCTAATGGGAACAAAAACACAATGATAATCTGGTTGGTTGTTTCAACCCCCCTGAAAAATATTCGTCAGATTGGATCATCATCCCAACTATTGGGGAAAATAAAAGCCATGTTCCAAACCACCAACCAGACAATGACAAACACCATGATCAAGCAGCCAATTTGGGTAATCTATGGTGACCTGGTCAACCAACCGAACCAACAATGGTAGGGACCAGGACCTTCTCAGGTCCTGACTCGGTCGGAAGGTTCGGTTGAGTCTGACCCATGGGGCCCAGGTCCGAGGCTCTCCTAGTAGCTGTTTTGCGCCAGAAAATGTCCAATTTTTTGGGGCCCAAATTTCATCAGGGGATCTCGGGAGATTGACACGTGGATCCGTCACTAGTGGGTCACCTGCAAAAATGAGGTATGGGGTGGACACGATCAACAGAGTTCTGTATACCAAAATGATAATTTAACTACTAGTACATAAATGTATTTAAACATTCATATAACTACAGGCATGGACATGCGTGTGTGTGAATATGGTTATAGCCTAGCTTACTGTAACTCCAAAAAAGATCAATTTTAGTGAACAATCCGATACTGAAATAGTGATTATGCCCACTTTTCTACACCTTTGGGGGTTACTATACTATGATAAAATAATGATTGTGTTGGGATGTATTGGCTATGTGCTATTCTACTGGAGTTTCTCGAAGTGAAATCACTGGATCTACCTGGTAAAGAACATGGGGCAAAACATCTCCTGAAGTACAACTAAGTACAAGTATGATATATTTTCCCATGCGTTTTTATGTTTGAATTATTGTTAAATCCCCGTTCACACTCGTGAATTAGACATATCAATATCATATGTTTCATGGTGAATCAACTTTATGTTGCTTAAATCCAATGGTTTTTGCTAGTCAAATTCCAATGTCTGCACGTCCAAATCCCCATTGTCGCTTGTCCGAATCCAAAATCTTGTCGATGACATCGCACTTTTTCATGCTGAAATCACAATTCTTGATGCTTCACTCCCCATGTTTGTTACTTTCACCACTTTCAAAACCACACTTGCGCGAAAAATCCCCACTCCTGCGGGCTGGAGATGGAGGTAATGGAACCTCCTCGGTGTGGAAGTGGTCCTGAACGAACTGGTAATCTATGGAAACTGGGAGGGGATCAAACTTGATATGGCGATGTGTCAAAACCCTGGCACCCTAGGTCCCTAGATGTCGCTACCCGAGAATAGCTGTTAATGGATTTTTGTTCCCCCAAACATGGCAATTTCATAGCTTTTGAACCATCCCAATATAACTGATAATGTGGTAATGCCAACCATGACGGTTGACGTCATGGTTGGCATCATCCCACTGCTAGGGGGTATACATCGACGGGACAGTTGTCAGTTGTGGGTCCAAAAAACCTCCTCCTCA